GTGAGTATCTTTTATCTGGTAGACCCAGCATTAATAAGCCCTTTCAATAACAGCACCAAAGTTGACCTTTGCTGCCTTATATGCCACCATGGAAGATGTGGATAAGCAGCAGCCATGTCACCTTGGCACACGTTAGAAATTGCTCCTGACCCCAGACCTACTGAATGAGAATTGCAGAGGCAAGGCACAGCAGTCTGTTTTCATAAGCCCTCCAGGGGATGTTAAGGCACCCCAAAGTTTGAGAACCACCACTGTAGATAACTACTCCCTGACTCTGAGTCATACAACTCTTATGAAGCCAACCAGGCTTTGCTTCCAGGGGTAAGCACAGAAGACAGATGTCTTAGGTCTTTCTCTTCATTCAACTTACCAGCCCCGTGAATTATAAGCTGGAGTTGCATCTGCCACCTCCTGGAACAGAGTCAAGAGGCGGGGGTAACTCTGCTTGAGTACTTGATTGGCTATTGTGAATATTGGAGTCTTCTCCCAGGAAATCATTTTATCATAAGCATCTGCTAAAAGTTGAGATTTTGAAGACTCAGCCATGAAGAGAATACTTATTGATGTAGGCCGGGGAGGGGGTGGGGATTCTGGAAAAGGTGCTTTAAGTTGTTCATATATCTTAGATATTAAAGTTTGTGGGCATGAGGGAAAAAGTGTATTCAGTGACATAAGTCATACTAGAGTAAACACATTCCACAAGATGATTGACAGAATGGAGATCTGGCACCTGTTATGGACAAAGCATTGCTTATGGACATTAAATTCTTATGGACAGACAGAAATTGTGCATGCTTGAAATCCCAGCTTTCAGATGGCCAAGGAAGAAGGATCTCAAGTTTGCAGCCAGCCAACATTAATAGTGTCCACAATTCAGCCATCATTTCACTCAACAAGCACAAATCCAGAGTGAGCAAGAGAGGGCAGATGTGATCTTGTCGGGGGCCTTGGTTCCCTCTGGCCTCTCAGTGTAAGCACCTCACTGTGCCAATTCTGGTTCTAGTACAGAAATGGGTATTTTTCATAGAATATGGCCTTCAAGTCAGTCTTCAACCAAATCATCCAACATCAACCAAAGGAAGAGTGTTAATTGCTAACACAAAACAATGTGTAAGTGAAAGGACCCCAACAAAGGTGGGTAGTGAAAGCTCTGCAAGACCACAACTAGACTTCAGTGCTCAGCATTGGGCATCTCCAAAACTGGAGATAAAGATGTTGAGGGGCTGAGACCCATGCTATAGGAAAACAGCTCAGAAACTGAGTTGTTCTTTTTAGTTAGGCAAAGAGACTTTAATACAATAAAGAACTTGAAATCCTCCAAGGGATCTCACACCAAAGAGGGTTTATCAAGCTTGTTCAAGGGCAGTTTCAGAAGGCTAAACAAGAACCATTGCAACTAAGGGAAGGTGGGTTCAGCCCAGAATGGGACTGCTTTAATGATTAGAACTGTCCAAATATGGAGCAAAATGCCTCTTGTGGCCTCCATCACCTTATAGGAGGTCTGTAGAGGGCTGAGAAGCTAGCTGGGGCCTCTTTTGCAAGTCACTTTCAACTGGCTTTCTATCTGAGTAGCTATAAATTGGCCTACCTTTTAACAGCTAATGTCCTCCTTTATTAATGCCTCCGAAGTTCTTTGATCACATCATCCATCTTTCTGAATCTCTCTCTCTCGCTCTCGCTCTCTCTCTCTCTCTCTCGCTCCCTGTCCTCGACTAAGTGGCTCCAGCCCTTCCTGAAAAATAGAGTAACCTATTCTTAATCTTTTAGAGCCTTGGTAACAAGAGGCAAGTGCAGCATTGTGCATAAAATGAGCTCCAAATTTCTTTCTTTTAACTAAGATAAACCATTTATTTATTTATGTTTCTTTTAAATTTACTTCTACATAAGAGTAACTAGATAGATTTGCCTTTGGGAGGCTGTGTTCATAGCCTCTAAACAAGAAGTTTCAGAGAAAACTGGTTGGTTGAAGAAACAAAGGCCTATTTGGTATGAAAATGGGCATTAAAAAAATCATACTATTGTTTATTTTTATTTTTTATTTTTTTGGCTCCAGCTAGCCTGGAACTTGTTATGGAAACCAGGCTGGCCTCAATATCAGAGATCTGCCTGCCTGTGACTCCTGACTGCTGGGATTAAAGGCTTGCAGCACCATAGCCAGCCAGACTATTGTTGTTGTTGTTGTTAATTTTTTTTATGCTTTGAATTTTTTTTTAAATTTTTCAGACTACTGTTTTAAGGGAGCATTTTGGCCTCCAGAAAAAACAAACAACAAAAACTTGCAGAGAAAATTCCAGAAGGGCAAAGGAATGTGGTAACAATATCCAAGTGAATGGTATACAGGCTCATCTCTGAGTGACCCACAATGCAGTTTTGCCTGGTTTTTGTTTTAAACCTAAGCTTCGAAGCCATATTCATGAGATAAGTAGTTCAGAAGCCCTCCAGTTTACTCACAAATGAAAATCAATGAACCTGAGTTCAGCAAAGATATGCTGAGACCTTCCTACTGGTGAAGCCCTTGGCAAGTTACTACTAATGGATTGAGGGTGGGGGTAGGACTCTCATTCATCAAATGGTGGGTGTTCAATAAATGATGAGCATAGACCAAGGACTGAAACTTGCACTGAGAGTGGACAAGACAAACTTCTTATGGAGCACTATCTGGGTGCCCCACAAGACATCAGGAGACATAGTCAACATTAAATTATTTCCACAGATAAATGCTGTGGGGGGGAAAAAACTTGAAAAATGTGATAGAGGAACCTCTTCAGATAGCAAGGGCATCTCTGGGGTGGGAATTCAAGATAGGAATTCAATATCTGAGTGACAAGCTGAAAGATGGCCAGGGAAGACCTGTGGGGAGACCCAAGGAAAAGCATCCCACACAGAGTAAAGCCAGGAACCCCTCCAGAAGCTCAGTGTAGTAACCTGAAGAGACCGGGCCACAGAACACAGATACAGTCAACAGCCTAAGACAGTTTCCATGCTGAGAAAGCTAACAATCCTCCTGCCTGTAGTGCCTTTCTGTTGGTGAGAAAAACATGCAGCCAGGCAGAACCGGTGCACAGCTAGTCTCAGAGGGCAAAGACCCACCAGCCCTCCCACCACACCCCCACGTCAGTCACCTGACCCTCCTGAAGAGGCTATGACCTAACCAGTTTCCACCTTGCTTCTAGGGAGTGCATTGCCATACACTAGAATTTTTGTTTGTTTCGTGTAGGGTTTTGTTGGTCCTTTTCCAAGTATCAATCAGAACTGCATGCCAACCTCCACTCCTTGGAAATAAATGAAATGATGTACTTGATTTTTTTCAGCAGGGTAATGCACTGTGATTTGCATCTGTTGAAGAAATCTATCTGAAGTCTTAAGGTGAAACTATGTGGGATGACTGAAGTGATTTTTTTTTTTTTTTTTTTTTTTTTTTTTTTTTTAAAAAAAAAAAAAAAAAAAAAAAGAGGACGATAAATCTTTCACTGTGATATATCAAAATAACTCACAGAGATCCACCTGCCTCTGCTCCAAGTGCTGGGACTCCAGGCATGCGCCACTACACCTGGCTTGAAGTGATTTTTTTTTTTTTTTGTAGCTGTTTTTTAGGTCTTTTTTTTGCCCGATTGCTAAACGCATTAAGGGGACTAAATGCTTTATTTTGCAACCTATTCCCTTCAGAAGCCTGCTCTTTGGAATTTGCATGAATTCAATGCAAAAGTCTTCTCCTGTTCAGTATGGCTTCCCTACTTTTTTTTTAAAGACAGTTTCCCAAGACAGCCTAGGCTGGTCTCCAACTCTCTTAAGTAACAGAGGATGACCTTGAACTCTTGATCCTCCTGCCGTCACCTCCGCACGCTGGGAGCATAGGTGAGCACCACCGCACCTAGCTCAGTATGGCTTTATATTGGCAAAATTCTCTTTCATGCTCGGCTTTGTTACAAATCTCACCACCAGAACAGATGAATAGGCTGGGGCAGGTGCATCTCTGTGAAATCGAGGCCAGTGTGGATTACACAGCAAGTTCCAGGCCAGCTGGGGTTTACAGGGGAGTCCCTGCCTCAAAAAAACAAAAGAATAGGTTTGGGATTAAAGGCTCTTTTTCTCCCACTGGGGGAAGTGGAACTCTACGGAGCCGTCATTTGAAAGCCAGCGCCAAACACCTTCTAACACCCAAGTCTATCTGCAGTTTAGCAACAATTAGCATAACCTGTGACTTCACAGACATTTACCAAAGGCTGTGTGGGCTATTTTAAAAAAAAACGACGTCTTCCTCCTTCCTATCCCCCAGAGTGGGATTCCCTGTCAGGGCACAGAACCCGCAGGGGAAGGAAGGGCTGGTGTTGGCGAGCAACGGAGAAGAGGCTCTCGGCTGCGGGTGTGGGATGCGGTGTTCCTGGAGAGACAGCTGAGTGATGCTGGCTGTGTGGGCAGGGAACTGCGGAATTCCTCCCAGAGCTGCTGAGGGGGCTGTGGCAGAGACTAGAGAGGCAGAGCGTGGCCAAGCGGCTGAGGTCGCTCAGGCGGGCCAAGGACACAGCCGGAGCACGCCTTAGAGCCGCCGGGGAGAACCGCGTCAGGTCGCCTTCCCTACCACCACGCGGCCCCAGGCAGTGCCCCAGCAGTGGGTGGCGGCTATGTGCGACAGCGAGGGCAGGGTGCCCACCCGGGAGCACTGATGAGACGCGGGAACCGCGGCCGGCTGATAAAGGTCGGACTAACTCCCCGACCGGACCCGGCCCGGACGCAACGCGCACTGCGCGGGCGCGAACGCCACACGCGCGCGGCCCCGATCCCGGTTCCTGGGGGCGGTGCGCGGGAGGGGGCAGGGCCTGCCGGCGGCGT